GGGGGAGGCGGAGAGGACACAAGGGTTTAGGGAGAGTGGCAGAGGGGAGAGAGCCCTGAAGGAGGAGCAAGGGAATGATACAAAGGAAATGGTGGAAAGAGAAACCGAGGGAGGGGATTCGAGGAGGAGGAAGATGCTCCAGAAGTTTCCAAGGGAGACCTGGGAAGGTTGGCGGATCTTGCTGGTTGCTGTCAGTGACCCCAGGAGGTCTCCCACACTGAGTGGCATTAAAGGTCGGACACGCGGTGGGGAGGATGTCACCAGCATGTTAGAGTCCTGGCGGAGGGTGTGGGCAGTCCACACATACCCACGGGCTCCCAAAGAGTCTGAGCAAGCAGCGACCTCAGGAAGATCAGAGATGACCCAAGCAGAAGTGGAGGAGCCTGAAATCAGAGTGGGTGGTTAGGAGGCCGAGGCTCTCTGTGGAGCCACTGAAGGCAGCAGATTCCAGCCAGCAGAGAGGGAAATGAGGTTTCCCCAAAGACCCAGCTCAAAGGCCCCTGATGGTTGGTGTTAGAAGGGAGGAGACAACCTGAAAATCAATCGGCGGCAGAAAAAGCAAACAGAGATGAAATAGAACAGTGAACCGAAACTGGTCCCGTCTGGCAGCCTAGTGGGTTACAAGTTGGACTGCTCCCCTCAAGGTCAGTAATTCGGAACCACCAGCTACTCCATGGGGGGAAAGATGAAGCTTTCTACTCCATAAAGAGTTACAGCCTCGGAAACCCGCAGAAGCAGTTTGACCCTGTCCTGCAGGGTTGCTATGAGTCAGAGTCCCCGGGACGGCAGTGAGTGTTGGTTTTTACAGCCTAATGCAGATCCCAGAAGACCAGATCTAAGAAAAAGAACGATGACAGCATGAGAAGCTGAGAGGATGGGAAGGGAGACCTCAAACATGGGATGAGGGGTTTTGCTGTTAGTTTAAAAGAAAACAGAAAAAAAGGTGAAATAGCTTTCTGGTCGAGACACACAAGTGTAGTCAAAGACCAGCAACTCTGATCTCCAGTTCAAGACAATCTACCCACATCAGGCTCTGTGATGCTGCCATCCATTGTTGACGTGGGGTTACGGGCAAGGCTCGCCTCTGGTGAGTCCACACTAGATATCCTCGCTGGCAGGCATTTGAGGACATGAGCACATTCTAGTTACAGTAGTTAGAATGGGCCTAAAACAGTCCTCCCCAGCAAGGATGCACCAAGATGACTGGGATGGACAGACAAGCCCCTCAGGAACAATAACGGGAGTAGCGATACCAGGAGGGTAGGGGGGAGGTGGGGGAAGGAGGGAGAGAAAGGGAGCACCAATCTCAATGATCAAAGCATATAACCCCCACCCCCCACTGAGGGGGATGAACAACAGAAACGTGGGTGAAGGGAGACAGCGGACAGTATAAGATATGAAAATAATAATAATTTATCATGGGTTCACGAGGGTAGGAAGGGGGGAAGGGAGGGTAAAAAGAGGAGCTGATACCAAGGGCTCAAGTAGAAAGAAAATGTTTTGAAAATGATGATGGCAACATATGTACAAATGTGCTTGATACAATTGATGTGTGGATTGTTATAAGAGCTGTAAGAGCCCCAATGAAATCATTTATGAGAAAAAAAGAAACTAGTTAGCAGGCTCAATATTTTAAAGTAGGCTACCCACAATGTAGAAATGACTGAAAACAAAGCAAAATATAACAGAACTAAAATACTTGCACTGATATAACCAGCAAATTGTACTTACATTATATAATTTCCTTAAAAATGTAACCATATATGTATAAATAACAATCCATACTATATAAAGGGTTCACAGGGGTGGCAGTTTGGGGAAGGAGGGAATGAAAAGGAGCTGATTATCAATGGGCTCAAGAAGAAAGATAATGTTTTGAAATTGTTGATGCCAATATTTGTACATGACCACTTGATATAATGGATGTATGGACTATTATATGTAAGAGCCCCCAATAAAATGATTTAATTTTTTTTAAATGACTGGGTTATTCACCTTCCAGACCCACACTACTCTCTTCTTTTTCTCTGCAAAGATTCACTTTCTGAAAAGCGACCAACAGCCAATTGCCACATTGGTTTCTGAATCTTAGCCCAGACTCCATGTCATCTGAATGCATCACCACTGGTCCCCGTGTCCAAGTCTACCTTCTTCGAATAGCACTGGACCGTGTTTCCCTACTCGTTGTTAGGAGTTGTTGTGGCGTCAGTTCTGACTCACAGCGACCCTGTGTGCAGTAGAAGGAAACACTTCCCAGGCCTGTGCCACCCTCTAAGTGCTGTTTCAGCCACCGCTATACCTCTATGGCACAGGTCCCCAAACTTATTTGGCCCATTGCTTTCCTTTTCATTAAAAAAAAAAAAATTACCCAGCAGCGCCCTGGCAATGAAAAGGTTTTGAACTGGCCCCCTCTCCTCCAGAATAAAGTATAGGTATCTGCTGTTGCAGCCTCCCTGGGTCACTGCAGCGCCCTGCAGGGGGCGGTATTGCCCATGTTGGCAAACACTGCTCCACAGTCCTCCTACGTTTCTGAAACAGAATTCTTATGCAAGCTTATTCTGAACTATCCTAGATTTCTGATCGTGATCAACAACAACAAAACACCCACAACACCCTCCTATCTAGGAGGGGGCTTCCAAAAGTTCGTGGACGTTTTTCATTATCTTTTCATTCCATTTCCCATGGATTCTTTGAAGCTCCCTCATCTCCATTGCCCTCATTTTCCATCTAGAGAGTACGTCAATGTGCCTGGTCAGGAAGCTTGATTATGTCACACCCTCAGGACTCTACCTGTCCTTGCTTCACAATCTCTCCCTCTGGTCTCCCTGTGCTTTTGCACAGCCCACTCCCGCCCACTCACCAAAAAGACCTTTAGGTCTCCCTCCTTAGGAGGTCCTCAGAAGGCCTACAGCCAAAACACCTCTGCCACTCCCCCGCTAAATTCCCTAGAATTCACTTTGGTTTGAGTCCTAGAGCTCAGGGAGGCTTCAGAAGCCATGCCACCAAGCCAGTCATTGGTCGCCCTGCTAGAACGAACGTGACGCGGTTTTCTGATAAGACATTAAGCCAGAAGCGGGGCACTGACACATAATTAAGGACTATAAGGTGAGAAGGGGAGGGTGGAAGATCAGGCTTCTGAAAGCACTTGGAGGGTAGTCAAGGGGGTAGTCCCCAGGAGACCTCTGGGAAGTGAGGAGGTAGAAAAAGCTCACTACTAGTCTGCTGGCATCCCAGGATATCAATAATTAAATCTGACATCTCTTATAGGAGACCTGGTGGCACACTGGTTAAACACTGGGCTGCTAACTGCAAGGTCAGTGGATCAAAACCACCAGTCGCTCCTCGGCAAAAGGATGGGGTGCTCTACTCCCATAACGTTACAGTCTTGGAAACTCACAGGGGCCGTTCTACCCTGTCCTGTAGAGTCCCATGAGTCGGCATCAGCCCAATGGCAGTGAGTTTCAGAGTTGGTTTCACATCTGTTTGTAAAGGGGGTCCCTGGAGGGTGCCAAAGGCTAGCACGCTAGGCTGCTAAGGAAAAGGCTGGGCATTCAAGTTCAACTAGAGGACCTTGGAAGAAAGGCCTGGTGATCCACCCCTGAACTCTGAGGGCACGGTCCTACTTTGACACACACACAGAGTCACCTTGAATCAGGGTGTTTTTTATAGGAGTAGAGATTGCGGTATTAGTCCCTCACCAATCTATCATCTGCTGTTCACAGCAATGAAATTAGCGAGGTGCTCCCACTCAAGGTCGATGAGTTGGACGCCCAGAGATGGAATGAGAGTAAGCAGTACGGCTGAGACCTCTAACCCCAAGACCAGCTGCTTTACAGATTGGAGGCCTCACGATCCCTGAGACTCGGTGGGCGACTGTCTGCAGTCACTTGACCCCTCTCAGTTTGGGTGTCTCTGTAACATGGGGCTGTAAGATTTCTTGAACAAATGCACAACAAGAGCTAAGTATGGTGCCTGGCACAGAGAGAACAAACAGTAAGTGTGTGCTACATCCTTCCTTTCTGGGTCCCAAAGAAACCACTTAACAATCTTAGCTTTCAAGATTGCCGAATTGCCTTTTGTAAATACTCAGTCCCCTGTCCCTGAGAGGCCAGGGACCAATCAGAAAAGAAAAAAAACCGGTTCATGCTCTTAATCTTAGGGTAGTGGTTCACAATCCCAGTTGCATATTTGAATTATCTGGGGACCCCACCACCACCACCCACTTTTCCCCAGACTTAATTGGCCTGAGTTGAGGGTCCAGTAATATAAAGACAGGATCAAAAACCATTCCCCTTGGGAAACCATATTAGGCCTCACCAGGGCGGAGGCAGACACACGCTGCCCCTCCATAAATGAAGACATCATCCCTGGTGGGGAAGAAGGCCAGAGGCCAGTCTGTATCCTAAGCTCGGTCCCTTCTGTTATGGCTCCCAAAATGAAGGGAAGGGAGTTTCTGGAAGCCGTGGGGGGAGTTGATTCTAAAGACGTACCAATTTATGGTTCATGACTCTCAGCCTCCGAGAGCTGGACCGCTTCTCTGGGTCCGCCAACCAAGCTGAGCTCAGAGAGGCTGTCAAGTGGGCGGTGCGAATCACTCATTGGCAAGGAGCAGGGAGATTAATCTAGCTGCCCCACGAACCCCGGCCTCTGGTTTCATTTCATCCGCATGCCAATTAAAAACAAACATCTCGTTTTGATGCACGGTTAAGTTCAGGGACCTCCAGAGTTTACAAGTCAGACAACAGAGCAGAAAACGCAACCGGAGAAACACAGAAAGCAATTTTCTGACTTGGTCTTGCATTCTATCCAAGGGGGGAGTCCAGCTGAAAATACTTGGTTTACCAGTGACGCTGTAACATTAATGAGAATGAAATCCAATTAACTTTGCAGCCAAGTACTACAGATGAACAGAATCTCTTCTACCAGTTAAAGAAATTACGCCGTTCAGGAAGCAGCTGTAATCCCCCGCCAAGGAATCTCTGGGGGTGAAAACGTCATACCTGATCAGATCTGGCTCGGCACCCTCATTCTTAAAGGACGCCAGAAGCAGTCGCTCTCGGGTGACAAGATCGTCCAATAGGTTCTGTCTTCTGTCCCCTTCAAGCTGGGTTCTGCAGGGAGCTTGTTAAGGTCCAGTGGTGAATGAATGACCTCATTTTACCTACTACACGAGGAAGCTAACTTTTCACATCAGTGGCAACTTTGACAGACTCTAATCAAACCTGCCCTAGTTGTCTCCTTTTCCCACCCTGAGCTTCACCTCCACCGGCCCATCAAGCACAGGACTTTGACAGTACCATGGGGCACTTGTAAACACGGGCAGACTCATGGCACAGATGTCACTGAGAAATGTGCACCATGAATGGGCTCTTCCTCTCCGCGGTCCAGATGTAAATGGCGCTTCCTGGGCAAACGCAATCTGGTTCCAAGATTCCGTAGACTTTTGAGCTGTATCTGTGCTCAGTGTTTGCCTGAGCATTTTACAAGCAGGGTAGAGTCAGGGAGTACAGAAGGTTCTCTATAATGCCCTTTAGGTGCTGGTGGCGCTGTTGCGTAAACTTTGGAATGCTAACCACGAGGTCAGTGGTTCAAACCTACCAGCCAATCCAGGGGAGACCCAAGAGGTTCCTATAAAGATTCACAGCCTCAGAAACTCTACAAAGGGCCACTGTGAGTCAGAATCAACTCAGTAGCAGTGGGTTTGGGTTAGTATGATGCCCTTTCTTTCATATTAAGACCTATTGACATATTTGAAATACATTTTAGAAAAATGCAATTGTAAGCAACAGATTTACTCTGAGAATTGCTCCCATAAGCCACCTAAATATAGTGTATGATCTTTAATGCTAAAGAAATTGTCCAAGTAGATTCCAAGGACTAGTAATTTCCCAAACCTGGGAAGTTCATGCTGTATGAGAGCCCCTGGGTGGTGCACAATAGCAAACTCGCAAGGTTGTTACCCTACAGATGAATGGTTCGAGTCTACTCTTTGGGGCACCTGAGAAGAAAGAATTCTAAAAAATTAGGGATGAAAAATCTGGCAAAAATTGGCAATTGTTGTGTTATCTACATTTCTACAATAATCTCCCCACCACCACCAGACAAATAAAACAGAAAGAAAGAAACTATGGATACAGGTTCACGCCAACACACGGGGGCCACCATGAGTTAGAACCGGTTCCCCAGCAAATGGTTCTATGTTGCTACTGGGTGTCCCATTATACAGTTTGGCATGTGTGGCTATTCACAACCACAACCACAAAACTGCCATCTACTTCGACTCTCAGAGTGAAAATGGGTAGGAGATTTTAAGCATCAAAAGTAAAAGGAATTTTTTTAAAAAATCACACGGCCATAAACACCACCATATCTTTACTTTTACTCATGTTCCCTGGCCTCGAGGAACCTTGTTGATGCAGCGGTTAAGTGCCTGGTTACTAATCCCAAGGAGGGCAGTGTGAACCCACAAGCCATTGGCTAGGGGGGCGGGGGGGATGCAGCAGTCACTTCCATAAGGATTGACAGCCTTGGGGATCCTGTGGAGCAGCTCTCCTCCCTTCTATTGTGTCAGAATCCACACGTGGCCAGGGGTTTCCTTTGGGGTTTAGCAGGGATGGTAGCCGGTGTGACGGGGGCAGGGGGCACTGCTTGAGTATCACCTTACCTCCATTGGAGCCATGGGGCACCTTTACAATGCACTTCATTGGCCCCTCTCCATATTAGATCATTCCGTCTCTGCCTGCCTGCTTGCCTACCAATCTGCCGACCTGCTTAGCTAGCGAGTTTATCTTTTTGCCCCAAAATACCAAGGGGAGGAAAGTTAGCTATAGATTTTTAAAAATTATTTCTGCAGCCCACCCCCTCAAAACACCAAAATACCTTTTGACACTGCAGCTCCTTTGTAAAGAGATTTTTTTTCATTCCCAGCTAACACTGCCTCTCAAAGCCCAACAAAGAGACGAGCTTCAGTTGAAAGCCCATTCTAAGAATAATTGTAGCCCTACCTGACATTTCACACACAGCCCCCCGCAGTGCCTACCTTTCCTCAACTGTCAAGGCAATTCTAATTACACCTCAAAGAAACAGTGCGAACAGAAGCTAATGTGTTCCAGCAGTTTTCAGCTCTCTGGTTATGAGAAGTTGGCTTCAGAATTGCAAGCCCACTCACTCAAAAGCGCAGGATTACCGTGGAGATCATGCACGTTCAGCTCCCGGCCAGGGCAATAAAGTGAACAGCGCAAGAGAGCCAGTCACACACACTTTGTTGTGGTGGTTGTTGTTAGTTGGTTGCTTCGCCGTGTATGTAAAGGTTATGTGTACACTACCTTGTGCTCTATTAAATGTGTGATAGCATTGAGGCAAAGGATGAAAGATTGCAAGAATTACAAAGTATGTCACACAGACAGGAAGTGAGCACAAAAAACCTTTCACTGCTGACTCATAGTGACCCCTGTGGGTTTCCAAGACTGTAACTATTGACCGGAGTACAAAGCCATCTTTCTCCTGGGAGCTGCTGGTGGCTTCGAACTGCCAGCCACGTGGATCGCAGTCCTCCACGTAACCACTACACCGCCAGGGCTTCTTGAAATGAGTACAAGCAGATTGGGGGGGCTTGGGGGGGGATGATGCTGATAGACTTGCTCAACACGGGTGGCCACAATCCTTCAACATATAAAGACCAAGTATCTGTGAAGCACAAGACAGCAAAAACACAGTAAAGTGAGGTGTGCCTTTGTAGGACTTTCATTTTAATTTCACATTTATTCTTGCCCCGAGAAAACCACTTTTCTCAGAAAAGAACAAGAAACATCTCTGTCTAACCTCTGTGGATTTAATTGTGTAGAGCAGGGGTCCTCAAACTTTTTAAACAGGAGGCCAGTTCACTGTCCCTCAGACCCGTTGGAGGGCCAGACTCTAGTTTTAAAAAACTATGAACAAATTCCTATGCACACTGCACATATCTTATTTTGAAGTAAAATAAAAAAAGGGGCAAAAACACCCAGTGGGCCCGATAAATGTCTTCGGCGGGCCGCATGTGGCCCGCGCCATAGTTTGAGGACGCCTGGTGTAGCAGCCTTCCCACTGGGCTTCTCTCTCTGGCAGCCCTGATTGTTCTTCGGAAAACCCCACAGGTGCAGAAAGGCAAGCATTTACTGTGATAAATGCTCAACTACCTGGCACGGTTAGGGGATGTGGGATTTAGAAATACAGACATTTAAAAAGTTGCCAACACTATTGATACCTCCAAAAAGGATTCAGAAAGTCACTCTCTTGATGATTATGGACAACTTTTCTAAGAATTACAGCATCCATAAAAGAGACCTGATAAAGCCCATTGAAATAGTGAGCACTGATTTAATCTTTCTGCCGATTAAGAAAGCCCTCGGGGATCTGCACTGTAAATAATTGTGACCTGCCAATTAATAGGGGGCTCTAAGTGGGGGTGTGGGGGGTGTGGGGGAAGGACATGTCGGGTGACGGTTTACTGTATTATTTCTATTAAAGTAAAAATGAGGCCAGATAGACGAATGTTTGAATTCTCGCTTTTCCATTTCCCAGCTGTGAGGTCATGGGTAAATTACTTAAGCCCTCAAAATACTCCTCTCTTGAATGTAAAAAAAACAAAAACAAAACAAAACACCCTGCTGGCGGACTAGCTTCTCTTTCCGACTCCATCAGTGACTGGAGGTTGGACTGGCCGCACTGCCTGTGCGGTGAAGACGCGGAGGAACACCAACAGCAAGAACACTGGACGACTGAGAGGGCTCGCAGATGGATGGCTCTCTGAGGTACCGCAAGACAGGAATGACAGCTCTTGTAGAATTATTACGGAGGTGAGGCGAAGAGAAGGCCAGTGGGGGAATGAAAGAATAAAACAGAGGCCTTCACGTCTAGGCGACCTCCTCCTCCTCGGCTCTGTTCCATCAAGACAAACCGTTCTCCCACCGTTCCGAAGGTCTGCGAGCGCCCCCGTGTGGTGGTGACGTGACTGTCCCCCTCTAGTGTGAGCTGCAGTGCGAGGAGAAGCAGGCCCCACTATTTAGTGACCAGGAAAAAAAATAAACCGGGCTTTAAATTGAACTCTCATATTCCATTTGAGTGTTTAAATCTCTCAGGAAATTCTGAAGTATCTCCATCAAAGTCCCCAAATATTTTACTCATGTTTTTTAATAACTTCTGTTCAGTGTTTTCTGATGTTGAGCACATTCCATTCGACAAATTTGGGGACTGGTTCTGAGACCCCCATAAAACCATAGTCTATGAGCTTTCAAAAGATAATCCAGACCAAAAGCATTTAAGAGAGCAGAGTGCATTATGATTCTGATCTGCTTAAGACTGTCCATAATTAATAACTCCTACAGCCAATTGATTCCTACTCATAGTGACTGTGTGGAGGGTTTGGGAAACAGTTTATCTTTGTAGAAGCAGACCCCCTGGGAAGCGGCTGGGGGGTTGAAACACTGACCTTTCATTAGCAAACCAACGCCTAAACCACAGAACCACCAGAGTACCTCACGATTAATAAATGTAATTAGTATATACTAGGGTGAGTTAAAAATGATGGCTATAAAAACATAGTCACGTTTATTAAGCAAAAATATCAAAATGTGGAGCTAGTGTCTCTGGACAGTCCCTCGTCCGGCTCTATACCCTACAGCGGCAGCGCTGCCATCCCAGCCGGCCTTCCTCAAAGAAGTCGCTCTCCGACGTGCACCGTGTCAAAACGGCACTGTGGACATCCTCCAGGGACTGACGCCTGCAGAAACAACCTCAGGACTATACGGTGGATGGGGGAAGGCTTCCCCAAGAAGACCTGGTAGGGAAGCAGGTGTGTCCTCATGATGGAAAATCAACTTCTCAGAGCAACTTTCCTTACCTTTTCCTCACCAATGCAGTTTGCCAGTTTCTTAAAGTAAGCCCCCCTGGCCATCTTGTGTGCTGAAAGAAAATCTACCAAGATCACCCCCTCTGGAATCTCCAACAAGCCGCCCGAGCCTTCTGAGCTGGCTTCTCTGACTTGAACTGCACAGGCCCAGTCGAGCCCCTCAGAGCCACTGTCCTGTCTGGACCTTGATTTTGACGCGCTCTGATGAGACCACGACAAGCGTCTCGCTGAGAGGACGTGCCAGCAGCCATCACTGACTGCGGAGACGTGGCTACCCCTGTGTCGTTTGAAATAACATGGTGCGTCTAGGAGCTAGAACCCTAGGAGCGATACATTATGATTTGCCTTCATAGTTCTTGATCAATAGGCTTATCACATAAACGTATAAACCAGATAATTGAAAGTTCCCTCCAATGAAGGTGGCAAATACAGTTACAAATATCAGATCCTCATACATTTAGGTACATTTCTAGTGCATGGGCTTCAGGTAACACGACCAGGACTTGGCACACCTCACTCCCCTGGGGCAGACAGACTTCTTGTATCTGCACCCGTCTGAAACGGCTTGAGGTCTACCTCTTAAGACTTGTTGATTTGGGTCAAAATAAAACCTCTAGATAAAAGACTGTGCAGCCAAAAATTACACTGAGATAGAGAGGCATGTTACGCACCAAATATCTCAGAATACCTGATTATGTTCAAAAATTGTTTCTAGAAATTAGCTTCTATTTGAAACCTTAGTAGACTAATAATTTACTGTCAGAGAAAGCGTGGAACTAATCTTAATCCATTTTCCCTGGTGACATAGAGGACACTTCTTTGGGGGGGAAAAAATTTGGGTGGGGTAATCATTCCCATTGCTTTATCTAAAAATGCATATTCTTCCACTTCCCCATATTTCAAACCAGGCAGTAACCATTTCTTGAGATACCACAATTCAGGGGCGGGGGGGCCTTTAGCACAGACTGACAATTTAACTCAATGAGATAAGGGGAGACCAGTTTGAGGACGTTTTCACACCAGTATAAACTCATCTTCAAAACTTAATTTAGGTAACAAATCACATGTGGTCTGTTTTCCCCTAAGTTGATGAAATTATAATTTTTTAATGTAATATCGGGCAGTGTTGGCAGACTCAATCGGCAGACTGAGACAGGATAATCAGCTCAAGCAAGTGCTCCCCTCCCCTGCAAGCATCTATGTTTCTAGAATCACACGGCAAACAAGTCACATCGCCGTCAACTACAGAGAAAGGAAAAAAAAAACAAACCCCAAAAGACGTATGGTTTCTCCTGGCATTGGTCTCACCATGAAAAGAGTGCACCAATAAAGTTCTAGGAACATCAGAAGCCGAATCACAGCTCGGGATGATAACAGAAGTTTTCCGGTTGGAGAGCAGCTAGCTGTTTTCCAGGCGGCCTAGACAGATAGCCCCGTGGAATTCCAGCACTGACTGAAAGCGCCCGCTGCCTGCCCTGCACGGGCTCCACCCGGACAAATGAATTCCTTCATAAGTCTTGCTTTGCCAAGCACATTCACTGGAAAACATGTAACAGATACCAAAAATAGAAACCAAGATTATAGGCAATCTTTTGGAAGCCAGGCCTTCCCTGAGCTGGGG